GCGCCGCCACCATCGCTGCCTCTGCCTCCACCACACCCACCACCCCAACCACTGCCGCCACCACTACCCCCACCACCACCCCCACCACCCCTGTTTTTTTTTTTTGGGTCCGGACATTTTTGCACCCCGGGGACCGGTCCGGACTGTCCGGTGTCCGGTGATGTCCGGATCACCCGACAGTCCAGACCAGTCCAGACACTGGTCCGGAAGACAGTCCGGAAGTGTCCGGTGTCCGGGTCTGGGGTTACCATGCATTCAACTAGCAGACATGCAGAGTTGCAAACAGTGCAAAGCAGGCACAAGACTAAAGAAACAGGGAAAAAAAAAGAAAAAAGTACAATTAACTTTGAAGTTTGAACTTCTGCGAGGATGTGGCTCCTCGTCAGGCCTAAGGGGCCCATTTTGCAATATGTTCCCACCCAGGCCTGATGAAAATACGAGACGCCCATTGTTGTCAATTTCGTAATTTGGGTTCAGACAGTTGCGTCGCGTCAGTTTGTTGAAGGAACCCAGGCCACGGGCAGCAGCACATTCTTTCGGCCTTCTAGGCCTCTTTGGGAAGAATGTGGAAGCAGGCCCTGCGCCGCTCACAAAGCAGGAAGCACGACAGGCAGTTGGGAGGCGTAACCGAACGGGGCCCAGGGCCGTAATGGCGTGGGGCAGAGGCCCAGCTGCACAGGGCCTACCGGAAGCTTCTGGGCGCAGGACCAGCCCAGACAGCCAGCACACCAGGCCAGACACTTTCCATATAGGAAAGTGTCCGCTGCCTGGCCAGACATTCAGGCACTTGCCAGTTGTGCGGCAGTGCTGCTTGAGCCTGCGCTCGTATGCTGTAGGCTGTGCTAAGGCATGGTGTTCATGCAAGTGCGGTCGTGTGTGCAGGGCACTGCTGTGGGCAGTGCCATAGCTAGGCCCCCATAGCCGGCCGAGCTTGGTTGTACAGCAAGGGGTAGTGGTGGTCTTCGTGCATGGGGAAGAAGACGTGGGTGAGAGAGAGAGAGAGAGAGAGAGAGAGAGAGAGAGAGAGAGAGAGAGAGATGAGGATGATGACGTGAGGGCACATACCCGGTCTTGGTGATAGTTTGCAAGGGTTGACATCTTCACGTACTTTGGTGCTGCTGCTGACGTCAACAGTTGCATTGTCAATTCGGAGGCTGGAAGGAGCTGTGTGAAAGTAGTCTGGGCGCTGAGCGCCAAGTAGGGGACAGGCCCTGGATACTTATGGTGGTGATGGCGAGAGTATGCTCTCATTGACACTCGGAGTCAGTGTTTTGGTTCTCCATTGGTGTAATATCAGTGCAATTCGGCTTTCTGGACAGTGCGGGACTTCCTGGCTTTCAGTGTGATTTTTATAATCTGGAATCTGTCATTTCGCTATTGCTCATTTTCCTTGCAATTTATCGGAGCTGGTTCGAACCGCTCTGCTAGCGGCCTTCGCAATAGCTCTTTGGTGCTTCGCTGGTTTATGGTGGGGCAGTAATAACGCTTGTGCATTGAATGTGTGGCGATCCAGGGTCGTGTGGGCGCGCCAGGAAGGCTATGTGGTGACATTGGGGTGTACGCTGGATGATGAGAACTCGCTGATGTGGCATTTAAGCCGAGGTGGAACTGCATTCCGCTGTTCGTTGTGCCAAGGCAAAGACCGGGCATCATAAATGCACGTCAGGTTGCTGGTGAGAAATCTGTGGTTGGGGGCAGCATTATGAGGTATGTTGCTCTCATCCTTATCTACCTTCTTCATTGCTTCTTACCGTGAGGAAGTGAGTTCTGTCTTGAGAGTCCTCTCCATGTGCAGTGTTGCGAGCGCTCAACCTTGAGAGTCGAC